TAACAAATCAAAGTTGTCATGTGTGTTTACCTAGTTGCCACGTACGCGTAACTGCAGTTGTCATCCAATAACGTACGAGTGTCACGTAGGCGAAAAGCAATTCGCCCACACGCGCGTGGACTAGGTTGTGGCTGTGTGGGCAGAAACTAATTCGCCCACACAACGCAGCAGGCAAACCTCGTGGTGCAGGGCGTGTGGGCAAACTCTCCAACGCCTACACACCAGCTCCGTCCTACGTGACACGCAAAATCCGCCTTAATGTGTTAAGATTCGTGTAAACTCGACTGAAGGATGATCCACGCGTTTAGGCGAGTTGCAAAACTGTAACACGTGTTGGCGTTAGTATTTTCAAGAAAATATATGTCTTAGGACATCTTCAACACATACCCTTAAAATGGACACATTATCCATCCACAAGCGCACACTGATGGGAGACGATCATCCAATCGCGTGTCTCAAACGTCCAATTTAATACATTCAAAACTGAATTTGAACAAGTCAGATCATTTTTATTTAAACTAGAGCAAATCATGACATTTTGACATATTTCATTAAATAAAAGTTAATCTAGTCTAAATCTTCGTCGGGCGTCCGTGTCCTAGTTCATGTTGTTCCTCATATCTGGCAGCACATTGAGTTCATGATCAAGTGGTCGAGCCGGTGCCACGATATGGCGCGGCTCCTGTATCGCCATCTGTTGACTCCTTTGGGCGCACGTTTGTGGATAAATACTATGTCCATTTTGGGGGTTGGCGTTGGCCATGCCCTCATGCATGTGCATTTGGAGTTGGAGAAAGGAAATACAAGATCCTATAATTGACTTTTGCTACACACTCCATATTGGTCAGTGGTCAAAACTCTCGGGAAAATGAACCGTTGAGTACTACTTCCTCCGTTCAGAAATACTTGTCCTAAAAATGATTGTACCTAGACTTATTTTAGTTATAAATACATTCATTTTATCTATTTTTAGGGCAACTATTTCCGGACGGAGGCCTTGACCTGCAGCTTCTTTTCCTTTTGTTAAAAATTAGGAGTACTACCTTGCCTGTCCTGGTTTGTTCATTTCCAAATAGTCGCCAGGTGGTGGTCTGATCTGTGTGCACCATCGTCGACGAGAAAGAAACACGGGCGGAATATCATGGTTCCGTGTGCCCAAGAAACACTCCCTGGCGACAGATTGCGCCACCTAGCTGAGCTCACACAATAAGGGTTTCTTTGATTCAAAGGATTTTCATAGGATCTTTGAAGGATTAGAATTCTTAGGAATTTTTCCTACGTTGATCGTTTGATTCGTAGGATTGAATCATGTAGGATTTTTACCTAAGGATTTATTTGTACTACATTTTACAGGAATTCTAACATCCACTCCAACCTCTTGGAAGAAATCCTTTGTTTTTCCCGTGACACAATCAAACAAACTCAAATTCTATAGGAATACAATAGACATGCCATTTCAATCTTACGTTTTTCCTATTCTTGTGTTTTTGCAATCCTATGAATGAAAGAGGCCCTAAACGACTTCTTCAATGGTTTCGGGTTGGTGTTGGGCGAGGAACCAACTGGACGCACAACCTCCGGTCGGTCGCCGTCGCGGTCGCCCCAGCCTCGGATATACTACTACAGTACATTGTGAGTATGGGTCCCACCCAAGCGTGCGCCTAAACCTTAAATATTCTCGTGGAAAAAATTAGTCCCGTTTAGACTGCGTCAATTCAGGATTTGGTTGATGGTTGTTTTCTGTCCACCTTTTTGTGGCTGCCACCAGCGCAGGAGATAAACCGGCGTTAATGGAATCATTTACACATATGTGCTCCTACACGGAAAGTGCCGACCCTGATCTTGAACGATAGCAAAAAGAAGCAGGGGGCGAAACAGAGCAAGGAGTGCATGGAATCATGTCGGACCTAGCAGAGAATGCGTGTCAATGGCTCCAAGCTTGGCATGACTTTGGACACGAGATGTAAATTCCACTCCAAGGTTGACTTTTCCTGCCCTCCACGATGGTCGGCCTTGAGAGTACCTTGTGTGGAGCCTTCGGCCTTGGAGCCGTCGCCATGTGAAAACCACGGCGGTACACGCACCACTTGGAGGAGCCGGCGGTCGGCAGACGGCAATGGTTTCATGGACGGATGGACCATACGTAACGTAGCCCACTGCTCTGCGATTTCATTTCAATTGTTTTGCTAGCTAGGGTTCGGTTTTGACCATGCACTATTAAAACCATCGTGAATATGCGTCGCCATCGCAGCGCGTACGCTTATAAATATCCTGAAAATAGACGGGAAAGTTGGCCAGTCAATTTACGGGTGAATTTTCGCCACCTTTCTAAAACGGGAAATAACAACTTCACGTACTACGTCGCCATCTGCAATCGCTCAACGGCACACGTTAGTAGTACCAACACATCAGCCTCGGAGTGGGAACCAACGCTCATTTCCCACGTTGTGTGCTTCCAATTCCAAACTCGCTGCCGTTCGTGTGATGAAGAAAATCAGGACAAAGGAAAATATCACCCGAGGAAAAGAAGTGACTGTACACAGATTTGTTCGCAAGGTGGTCAACGCTCGGGAAAATTTACTGTTACTGCCCTGCCTTGCAACTTCTTTTCCCCTTATGTAAACTTGCCTTGCAAGCAATGTTTTTTTATTTCGGAAACAAAATAATATCAAACCTCATCGGAATATGCGAAAATTTAGAAACTTCGCATATTTCAGGAATCATTTCGGATTTCGAGATTTCAAATTTCACTTAATTTTAATGAACTCAAATATAATTTAAGTTTATGTTGAAATCAGTTTGAATCTGTCTTGAAAAATTCGGGGTAAAATTATTTTGGATCCCACTGAAATATACAGAACTTCAAAAATTTTATTTCGAACCCTGCTTGCAAGTGCTGTTTGTTCATTTCCAATAGTCGCTAGGTGGTGGTCTGGTCCGCACCATTATAGTAGACGAGAAAGAAATACGGGCAGCTCCGTGTGCCCTAGGAACAGTCTTTTTTTTAGCGTTAGCCCTAGGAATAGTTGGCTGGCGGCAGATGACCAGGATTGCTCTGATAATAATCGTGTCACGAGGATGCCCCCTACCTGAGCTCACACAATAAACGAGTTCAGTGTTTTGAGGTTAGTGTTGGGCGAGGTTAGTGTCAGTCACCGTCGGCCCAGCCGGCTGCTGTTCGGATATGCATTGTGAATATACGTCCCTATCAAGCGTGTGCTTATCCCCTCAAAAAAAAATCAAGCGTGCGCTTAAACCTTAAATATCCTCGCGGAGAAAATTAGACCCGTTTAGAGTGCGTCAATTTAGGAGGCATCTTTTTGTGGCTGCCACTAGCGCAGCAGAGAAACAAGGACCGGTGGAATCATTTGCACCACATATACCCCCTCAGTCCGAAAATATTCAGAAAGACCTCATCTTCATCAGTTTATTCAGTTCACTCATGATACTAATGCTAGAATCTTTAAGTTTATAAGGGAGAACAATAGGATTGCTCACAAGCAGGCTCAGGGTACTTACAATCCTTTTGATGTTGGAAATTGCTTATATACCTGCTTAGGTGTGCGTCATGATGTTTCTAATTGCCCTCTAAAAGCTATTATCAGCTCTCTTAATGTGCATTCTTGCACATTGATGTTAGTGACCTGTCTTTGAAGTATGGAATAAAGTTTTATATTGCCAAAAAAAAACAGAGCAAACAGTAGTGTATACTCATTCAGTGAGTCCCTTGGGTCTTTGGAAGAAGAAGAAGAAGAAAAATCAAACTGTGATGGTAGCAGCCGCTGTTCTACACACAGAAGTACTACTTAGAATCATGTGGGACCTATCAAGGGAGTGCGTGCCCAAGCTTGGCAAGAGCAAAATACAAGGTTGACTTTGCACACGAGACTTGTCTTGCAAGAGTATATAAACTTCCATTCCAAGGTTGACTTTTCCTGCCCTCCATGGTGGTTGGTGGTCAGAGTACCCTTTGTGAAGCTTGCTTCGTACTCAGCCTTGGAGCCGTCGCCAAGTGAAAACCACGGCGGTACACGCACCACTGTTCCGCATGGCCCGAGAACAGGCACTTGGAGGAGCGGACGGTGGACAGATGGCAATGGTTTCACGGACCATATTCATTTCAATTGTTTTGCTAGCTAGGTTGGACGGTGACGGAGAGTATGCGTCGCCATCGCGCGTACAATGCTTATAAAAATATCCGAGAGACGGACGGGATACTGGCCGGTCAGTGTACGTGCGAATGGCGGAACTGTCGCTACCTTTCTAGAACGGGGAATAACAGCATCACGTACTGGAGCTTCAAAAAAAAACATCACGTACTACGTCGCCGTCTGCTATCGCTCAACGTCACACGGCAGCGGTAGTACCAACACATCAGCCTCGGCGTGGAAACCAACGCTCATTTTCCACGTTGCCTGCCTCCCAACTCGCAGCTCTTCTTGTGGTGCCAAGGAAAATATCAGAAGAAAAGAGAAGACAGTACACAGAATTTTTGGCACGGTGAAATTCATGTTTCTTCATCTGCATATACCACTTCGATATACCAGAAACAACTACCAATATCGCCCATAATCCACTGGGCTCTCTCTCTCTCTCACTCACTATCTCTCTCTCACTAAACAAAGGAAAAGAAAAAGAAAAAAAACAGAGAAGGATTCCAGAGGGAGGGAGGGATGGATCTGCGGACTCGTCCAACAGCCCGGACGGACACGCGCACCACACCAGCTGTCACACAGCACTAGCACAGCCCAGCCCAGCCACCCCAGCAAAACACGGAACATAAACAGAAAGAAATCTTCCAGCCGGAACGTGTCCAGCCGGGCACCGCGCAGGCGGGCAGGCAGCCTCCTCTCTTCTCTTCTCTTCTCTGGAGTCGTCGCCTTCGCTTGTCCTCTGCTCCTCCTCCCCCAGTGCACAAACCCCGCACGCAACCATGGCCCAATTCCCCTTTTGCTTTTCTACACCTTCTTCTACTAATTAACGGACGGACGGGCGGGCGGCTAGTAGCAGAGCGGCGTCAGGCCTGGATGGAGGAAGGACGGCAGATGGCGGCCGGCGGTGGGCTGAAACGGCGGCGGCGGCGACGGGGTCGGCGACGGGGATCTCCTGGCAGTGGACGGGCGCTCGATTGGGCCAACCGGGGAGCGGAACCCCACGGTGACCGCGTCGCGCACGCACCAGTGGAACGCCGGCTCGCGCAGGCCCAGCGCGGCGGCCGCCTCGCAGTCGGGGCAGGGCGTCGAGGGGCGCGCCGGCCACAGCGCCGCCGGCGGGTCGTCGAGGAGCGGCGGGAGGAGGTACGGATCCGGCGCCGCCGTGCTCATCATGTACCACTCGTGCTGCCGCTGGAGCTCCCGCAGCTGCGCCTCGTAGTCCCACCCGCCGAACGCGGCCACCGGGGACGCGGCGCCCGCCAGGGACGCCAGATCCGTCGACGGGAGGCGCTTGAGGATGGTCCGCTCCGAGGCCATCGTGGGCGCCATCAGCAGCGGCTGCTGAGGCCCCGCCCCCGCGCCCGCGCCCTTCCTGTCGCGCCTGGAGCGGCCCCCGCGGCGGTCGCGGCGCGAGCGGCGGAGCCCGGCGAGGACGTAGCAGCCGGCGCCCTCGCGGGCCACGGCGGCGGCGAGGTCGGCGCCCTCGTCGAGCGGCACGCGGCGCTGGCGCCGCGGCCGGGCCAGGGACGCCGAGATCTGCTGCGGGGCGACGCCGACGCGGTCCGCCACGACCGCCTGCAGCTTCCGCACGCCCAGCGACGGCTGCACGGTGACCGTGCCCAGGTCCACGCTCCGCTCGCCGTCCACGAACACCACCTGCAGCACGGCGCCGCCCGCGCCTCCCGGCGGCGGCGAGGTCGACTCCATCTCGCCCATCGCTCCGAGCCTCTCGACGACTGGACTAGACTAGCAGCGGGTGGGCATCGGCGGTGGCGTGGGTCGGAAGTCTGTGGGGAAGGGGAAGGGGAATTGGAATTGGAATTGGGACGGGGAGGAGGGGGGAGCGGGGGGTTATATACAGGGATTGAAGGCGGTTGGGTTGGGCTGGGCCAATGGTAATGGCGGTGGGGCCGGAGGGGGGGAAGTGGTCTCTGTCTTTCCTTGCGAGCCAAGGCAAGAGGGCGCGGCACGGGATCCAGGGAAGGAATGGGAAGGTGCTGGTGCGTGGGCCACCGACTGACTGACCGGGGTCGCAGGGCGCCACGTCGGAGGGCGAAACGTGCGAGGGGGTGCGCGGCCAGGCTCGCGCCAGCGGGGCGCGGCGGCACGCGCGGTGGTGGGGCAGTGATGGGTGGATGGATGGATGGACTGGTCACTGCCGTGGCGTGCTGAGGCGTTTCACGTGACGCGGCCATGGCTTTCGCGTGACAAACGCGTCGCCTCGCAGGCCGCTGCGCCTGCATCGCCGCTCCCTGATTACGATTTTTTTTCCTCCTGAGAAACATAATCGAATTATTTTAGGAAACACTAAATATAAGTGCAACATCGACACAAAACGTATTAATTCATACGCAGACCCACAAGGCATTTCTGGACCCCGATAATGCCTGATCGTTCGGCCTAGGTCGATGCCTCGTTCACTGCCATAATTTACAATTTGGACGGCAGTGGAGCTACAGAAGGTGAAAAGAATACTGGAAATGGACTTTTGGTGCCCTGACTAAATTATACCCATAACAAATAAAAATTGCCATGATTTTTCACAACAAGTGAGATTTCCAAAAAAACTGATGGTCGAGTAGAACAAAATATTTACAATTTTGCATGATGTTGTATTTTTATAATGCCAAGTTTACAACATTTTTATTTCTAAAACAAAAGTTATAAGAAATATCTCTAATAAAGAACACATGGCAATTTAAATTTGCCATGGTGAAAATATATTTCAAGAAATAGCCATGGAAAAATGAACATTACAAACAGAAACTAAGAACAAAAAATTGCCATCGCAGGATGCATGTTAAGAAATTTTCCATCTTATTTGAATTAAAATTGCCATCTTATGTACAAGCAAAATTGCCTTGTACGTGACATGACACAAATTATAAAACAAAAAATGACATGCCAGATGAATACTAAAATTTGCCATGGTATTTTAATTTAAATTGACATCTTTTTTGTGTAAGAAAATTGACATGCATGTCAAATAACATCAAAAAAGGCCAAAAAGTGCCATGACAAAATGCATATTCAAGTTGTAGTTGACAAATGTGTAAAATTGCCATTTTGTATAAACTACATTTCCCCCGATCCATGGCTAAAAAAACAAGAATTTTCCATGTAAAAAATGAACGGATTGCCATGGGTAATAAAAGTTGCCTAAAAACAAGAATTTTCCATGTAAAGAAATGAACGGATTGCCATGGGTAATAGAAATTGTCTAAGAAACAAGAACTTTCCATGTAAAGAAATGAACGGATAGCCATGGGTAATAAAAGTTGTCTAAAAACAAGAATTTTCCATGTGAAAAAAATGAACAAATTGCCATGGGTAATAAAAGTTGCTTAAAAAACAAGAATTTTCCATGTAAAGAAATGAACGGATTGCCATGGGTAATAAAAGTTGTCTAAAAAACAATAATTTTCCATGTAAAAAATGAACGGATTGCCATGGGTAATAGAAGTTGTCGTGCTAACCTTAATGGATTTGCCATGCGCTAAGTTTAGTGTTTGCCATGGGAGAAAAGGTATTTGCCATGGCAAAAAAAATGACTTGGATGAGATGTAAAGTAAATTTGCGATGGTCCAGAAAAGTAAAAAATTCGTGGCAAAAAGAAGTAAAATTGCATGTATGTTAAACTAAATTTGCGATGGCAGTATAGGTAAATTTGCCATGTCAACAAAGGTAAATTTGCCATGGTAAAATATAATTTTTTTGCCATATTGCAAAGGGAATTATTTTTGCCATGGTCCAAAGGTAAAATTTTCATGATGTGTAGACTACATTTGCCCTAATCCCATAAAAACTAAAATTGGCATGGTCACATAAAAGGTAATTCTTTTACCATGTTGCAAAGATTGCTATTTCTAAACTTGCCATGTCATCAAATACAAAATTTCTATGATATGTACAAAATCGCTGAGCGCGGCTTTTGCCAACCGATAGGAGAAATGAGATGGTGAGGTGAGAGGGGAGTGACCGCTGTCAGTAGAAGAAAAAAACGTTCGCTCACTTCCCACTTTCAACCGAACGATGGCAGGAACTGACGTGTGTTTAATCACTTTACCATTATTCATTTTTTATATGACCGAATCCATTGCTTTCTTTTTATTTGTTTTATGGTAGTAAGAAGTTTTCACTTGAATGTACTAAAGCCGCAATATATGTGAACGGTGTGAATATATTTTGGCATTAACTATAGCTCATGTGCAAGTTTAATTCTTTCCTGAGTATGTTTCTTTGAGAAATATACTATGAAGAACAGAAAAAAAAAGATATTATCGACCAGGACGATGCACTCCACCTTGATTGCCATCACTTTGACTGCGTTGGGAGCCTCCACAGAGACAAGAAAATTGTTGTTCAAAAACATCATGTTGAGGGGAACCATCGATATTTAAAGGAGTAAATTGCAAAAAAACGCCACGTTTTATTTTTTTCCGCAAAAACCCATTGATATGTGCTGACAGTTTGCCAAAAATATTGATCGATTAAGAAGTAGCGTTTGACACCACCACCTGACTGGTGGGTCCCACTATAAGTGGTGACATTGCACAAGGAAAACAGATGGAGGAGAGGAACGTTAAGTGACTAAGTCAACCCCTCTTCTTCCTACGTAAGTGGTGTTTGGCATTTCGTGGAACAACTAGCTGCCCACACCCGTTGCGCTTCTAGAAGTCCTTGAAAGAAGCTGTTGGGGCACCCTTGTCGTAGCCGCAGGTGTATATAGAGGAAGCGGGCCAGCTCCAGAGTTGGATCTTGGAGTGGCTCGACCTAGCCATGGACGAGGAGAAGGCCATGATGCTTAGGGCTATGTATGAGTTGTGGATGACCGAAAATGACGACTGGGATAGACGTAAAATGGAGGATCCTGCCGCTCTCAAGGATAGGGTGATGCACCTATCAGACAAATGAACATCACTTCATGAAATCAGAGCACCGGTTGGGACTCAGCTCGCTGGAGTGGTCCGGCGACGCACTGGGTCAAGGCCACCGCTGATGGAAGTATGTCGAAAGGCAATGATTTTGAAGGCGGTGGAGCGGTTTCTAGGGATCACAATGAGGGTTTTATGGCCGGCGTGTGTGTCACCTTTTTTGCCTCCGTCAACGATCCTGAGGTAGTTAAACTCATGGCCTGTCGGCGTGCAATTCGACTAGCTCTGCAGGTTGGAGTCCAGTAGGAGGTTTTTGAGTCTGAAATGTGGTCCGCAAGATCAACCGCGAGACGACGGATTTCCCATCTCATGGTCCACCCGTCAAGGAAGTGAAGGGGCTCCTCCAACCCTTCGATGAGTTTATGGTGTTGTGGGTGCAAGGGTGCAATGTTTGGTGAGTAGAGTTGCCCATGAGTTAGCTAGTGAAGGTTGCAGAAATAAATTTGGCAAAAACTTGGTTTCAGGTTCCTGTGGATTTGTTAGCGAGGCGGTGACCGCTGATTGTACCGAGACAATTTAATAAAGCTGTAACAATTTTTTGACTCAAAAGAACAGGATAGAAATGGTGTTTAGTAAGCCAAGCGACAAAATGTCAAAATAAATCCTGCTCTAATCGACGGCTGATCTGGTTCAATACCACCTAGTAGTTATGCTACTTTGGTTAATGAAATAAGACTGCTGATGCGTCTTAGACAAACTTATATTACTCATATTATGAGAGTCCAGAATAAAGCTAGTGATAGTTTGGCTAGGTTTGCTCGAATTGAGGAGCGAACTATGACTTGACTGGGATCTGGGCGAGAGGAGGTCTTGGGTATATCCCTTGATGATTGTAAAGACATTGATATCTGAGTAATACAAGTGTTCTCACAAAAAAAAAGTGTTCGTCCAGTCTATTTTTATTTTTTCCCTTCGGGGACACCCGATAGATAAGCTTAGCATGGTAGCGTTCCCCATGCATAAGGATGCACAACATTTGGTGTCTACTAAATAAAAGGATGACAACTTTTTAGTCTATTTTTTGCTCAGAATTTTTTTTGAAACTTTGTCCTCAGATATTTTGCTTCCTGCACAAAAGGATATTTGGCTTCCCCTGCTTTTCCTTGGCTTTGGCGGGCGTCTCAGGGTTCTCCCTCTCTCCGGAATTTGAAGCACACGTGGAAGATCTTGGATTGCACGCTGCCATGCTATAGCACCGTGGGATGGCAACGTAGCACGTGATGCCGTTGCCGTTGCTCGCCATCTAGAAAGGTGGCCGGTCGTTTTCCCGTCCATTTTTATGCAGTTGTACTCTATTTTTTTCCATGAAATTCTTTCTAGTGGTACTGGATTTTGCCCGGAGGATGTAGTTAAGGCTTGACGGCGACGCATATTCTATTCCCATTGCATATCTAATCTGAGGAGCGGCAGCCAACTGAGCACGGGGCCGGGGCCGTGGCTCCGGCGACGGCGACCGAGGGTCCGGGACCAATCGATAGGGCCGGACGTCCTGCCGTTCAGTTCGCCGAACCCAGCCCGAATAGTGGTGTGCCGCCCGCGTTTTTCTCTTGATGGTGCAGACAAATCAGACCACCTGATACGTCTTGAAGAAGAGCAAACCAACACTTGCAAGGCAAGTTTCAGGAAAGGGGAAGAGAACTTGCAAGGCAGGCAGCACTTTCCCCAGCGTTGACCACTGCCCCCTGACCCCTGATCTATCTCGACGATTTCACTGTCCCCTCTTCAACTTGCTGCGTTGGTGACACGAAAACATCATGGGTCTGTTTATGTCTATCCACTCCT